AATTAAACACGAAAAAATTATATATATATGTATGTATTTTCTATGCGTTTACTTGAATGCAATCTGTCTGCCGTGGACAATTGGCTTTTGTGCATTTTCTTATACGAATATGATGCGTACTTAAATAAGATATTTTGTGGAAAGAAGTGCGTGTCGGTTTGAAAATGCCGCTAAGGCAGCAATTATTTATATACATAAATATATTTTCGTGTTGTACTTATTTTATTGTATACAGTGTTGCCAACTTTTGAGTTTCAAAAAGCACTAAACCTCGGAAAAAAGACGTTTTACCACACTAAAAGCACTAAAATTTTTTTTTTTTTTAACAAAGGATACATACATAATGACTCATGCTTACGAAGTAATACCGAAGAGGCTACTGCACATTGAAAATGGTATATCTCGCAAAAAAAAATAAAATAAAATAAAACTTTTTAATATACCACGTTTCCCTAAATTGACTAAAAAGTGGAAAATGATATTTCTCAGTCCCATTGAATTTGTTTTGATAACTTTTGGTTGTGAAATTTTAGCAAAAGGCATTATAAACAATTTGTGAGAATGAAAATGAAAAACGTGGAGCACTTTAGTGCATTTAAATTTGTAGATTCTTGTAAATTTAGGGCTGCCACAGATTTAAATATTTCAAATTATTTAATTTCTATGAGAAATTTGAGTTCNGGCTGCCACAGATTTAAATATTTCAAATTATTTAATTTCTATGAGAAATTCGAGTTCGGAAAACAAAACACTAAACAAGACACTAGGCACTAAACCATTTTTTTTTTGCTTTTTAATTTTCAAGAAGCACTAAATCCAGTGCTTAAAGCACTAAGTTGGCATCTATGGTTGTATAACACTAGTCTATATCGCTTGGAAAACACATTAAATGGCCTTTGGTATTTCTTGAGACATTAACTACTTTTCTTATGCCCTTTATGACTTTTCGTTTCATAAGCGAAATAAATATTTTGGTAGTTTTGCTGACACTCACCTATTTAATAGATAATTTCCACCAAGCCTTAACTGTAGTTTATCTCTATTAGAAATACGCGATTACAATTCGAAGGGAGTAATAACTCATATTGAGTACAAGAAAAGCAAAAGTAGAACAGCAAAAAGTAAGAAATAAACCTTGCAGATCGTCACATATTAAAAGTTAAGCTTTTGGTGAAAATGAGCTATAACATTGCAAATTTTAGTTTAAAGATTTAAAATATTTTTAAGGTATTTTAAGAGGATGCCCATCTGTTTAAAAAAAGTTTAATTCAAATTATTTAATAAGTTAAATTAATTACTCCGATATGGGTATCACTTAAGATAAAGACAAAAAGTGACACGCCTCGCGACNATAGATAATTTCCACCAAGCCTTAACTGTAGTTTATCTCTATTAGAAATAGGCGATTACAATTCGAAGGGAGTAATTACTCATATTGAGTACAAGAAAAGCAAAAGTAGAACAGCAAAAAGTAAGAAATAAACCTTGCAGATCGTCACATATTAAAAGTCTTAGAACCGAACTGAGCCCTTAACTGCAGTTAAGCTTTTGGTGAAAATGAGCTATAACATTGCAAATTTTAGTTTAAAGATTTAAAATATTTTTAAGGTATTTGAAGAGGATGCCCATCTGTTTAAAAAAAGTTTAATTCCAATTATTTAATAAGTTAAATTAATTACTCCGATATGGGTATCACTTAAGATAAAGACAAAAAGTGACACGCCTCGCGAGTTTGTGTCCCAGCTTACACAAACTGAGTGACGCGAATTCGCATCGGACCCTGCAATAACACCAGCTTTCTTTCGGTTGGCTTCTGCTATAGCGCTCGTCATCGTGTGGTACCTATATATTCATTGCTGAAATGAAAATTAAGGCTTTTAGTTCACCCCTGATGAGTATAGCTCTGCCTATATTGTTCTCCCCCATCAGTTTGTAGCTTCTTGCTCTGACTCCAAAGCTGTTACTCAAGGTGGAGCAAGAAATTTGCGGATGCCGCCTTTGAGTGTTGGAGAATAATCGGAAGAACCTTCATTCTACAGAATCCTCTCTATGAGTGCAATTTCCGCGCTCTTACCACCGACGTCGACTCGATGTTTACAGCCTCTTGAGATTGAAGACGGATCCTCCAGCAGTGGAGCCAACACCAATGCTCTCAGCAAGATCCATGTTAACGAAGTCAACAGCCTCCCTACTATCCTCCGAGACTACTACAGGCTGAGGGTCATCAACTTTGGCTGCGGTCGGGAGGCTCCTGAGGGTCACCTTCTCGAAGCCATAGCTTATGATTCCCTTTGTATCGCCAAGAGCACCGAGCTACTCTGCATTTAGCAGTACCAGCGCTTGCCGATAGGGTTTCCCGTTCCTCTCTAGCAAGATAACCCTGCAGTAATGCGTCGGGAGAGCTGGCACCGAGGTATTTCTTCCATCTCAGCCGGAGAGGAAGATTCAGCAGAGAGCCATACACGAGTCCGCGGACGAAGAGAAAGCCTTCCACACCTCTCCCCCTAAGGAAACTGCTTCCTTTTATAGGGACGGTGACCATTAGTTGGCGCTTCTAATCAGCTTATGCAGCCCATGATACCATTTGGCACTTTCACACTTTTGTATTAGCCCAGGTTTCCCCTTGCCCACCCTCAGATAGACAGCTGAGATGGCAGCCGCCACACGTCTCCACTCTTCGTCGGTGATAGCGCCGGCTTGTCTGCTGCGGTCCATAAGTTCTACAGAGCGATCTGGACTCGTGATTCCGCTGAACGTTGGAGCCGCCGCCGTTTCGTAGTCGCCATTTGCGGCAGTCATGCCACCGGCTGCCTTCCCCTGTGCGGCTTCCGCAACACTCCGCATCGCTAAGCACCTTTTTAGCCGTGTTCGAGCATGCTGTCAGATATCTTATCAGCACACTGATCGCTATAGTACTCTAAAATATTGGTGGCCCGGCGACGGTCCGAATGCGCCTTTCCCACTGCGGTGGCGCGCGGTTTAGACCTAGCCTGAGGTCCATGAAGCTCTGAAGAATCGCGGCAGAGATCATGTTGGTGCTAGCGATTCCAGTACGCACTACATCCCTAGATACCCCATGCGATTTCGCACAGGCATTATCCGCTACTGGCAGGTTTCCGCCACTATTGCCCGGCATAGCCGATGAAGCTAGCTTCGACCCCCCTAATACGTCAGCCGTACAGCTGGTGTTAAATGCGTCAAATTATGTCTCCAATAGGCAAAATTTTCTATGTAATTTGGCGCTGATTTTCACTACTTTAAAAATAATCATAGTTATAAGAATAATAGTTATAAGAATAAGCTAAAGTAATTTTCGTGATCATAATCANTGCGGCAGTCATGCCACCGGCTGCCTTCCCCTGTGCGGCTTCCGCAACACTCCGCATCGCTAAGCACCTTTTTAGCCGTGTTCGAGCATGCTGTCAGATATCTTATCAGCACACTGATCGCTATAGCACTCTAAAATTTTGGCGGCCAGGCGACGGTCCGAATGCGCCTTTCTCACTGCGGTGGCGCGCGGTTTAGACCTAGCCTGAGATCCATGAAGTCTGAAGAATCGCGGCAGAGATCATGTTGGTGCTAGCGGTTCCAGTACGCACTACATCCCTAGATACCCTATGCGATTTCGCACAGGCATTACCCGCTACTGGCAGGTTTCCACCACAATTGCCCGACATAGCCGATGAAGCTAGCTTCGACCCCCCTAATACGTCAGCCGTACAGCTGGTGTTAAATGCGTCAAATTATGCCTCCAATAGGCAAAATGTTCTATGTAATTTGGCGCTGATTTTCACTACTTTAAAAATAATCATAGTTATAAGAATAATAGTTATAAGAATAAGCTAAAGTAATTTTCGTGATCATAATCAAGTGAAACTAACAGCCGCCGCAGATAGTAAATGATAAGATTACACCAGATATATATGTGAATATATGTAAATATAAAAACTTATGCATTATACATAACTACATAAATAGAAAAACGGATAGCGATCTTCTATTAGCAGATGTGTGACCAGAAGCACATTGTAAGGCTTCAAAAACAAGTAAAGTAAACTTACAGCATCATGAATCTAATAAACGGTCAACGACTATCCAACTTCAGCGACAAGAGCAATGTTATTGTCACCGTCTAATACAAAACTGGTTCAGGCTTTCATTGCGACCGTAGAGCGTATCAGCAAATAGCAACAAATAGTGTAGCAGCAAACAAGTTGTTAAGCTGTGAGCCAATTACAGTGCGTGAGTGTTTTTGGTTTTTGTTTTTNGGTTCAGGCTTTCATTGCGACCGTAGAGCGTATCAGCAAATAGCAACAAAGTGTAGCAGCAAACAAGTTGTTAAGCTGTGAGCCAATTACAGTGCGTGAGTGTTTTTTTTTTGTTTTTGTTTTTTTTTTGCAACATGACTTTGTTGATTGTGTCGCGCAAGCACACACTCTGCGCAATTGTCGATTCAGTTTGCAATTTTACCAGTTAAACTTGCATTACTCCAATTTTCGAATTTTTCCTTTTCCCCAGTTGCAGTTTCAGGTTTTTGCGGCGCTACATTTTTATGCCTGTGGGTATTTTGTAATAGCGACGTTGTTCCACTTTCCGCGTATGAAAGTGGAGTAGCGCTATCGGCAATCGAATGTGTGACGTTGGCATTGAGAGGTCGTTGGTTTTGTTCGCCGTTTGAAAGTGAAAATTATGCAATAATCAGAGATGTCTAGGATTTTTTTGTATACATTTTTACTGACATTGAAAATGTGATGGGAAAGGGTACTGTGCGGACTGTATGTCGGCTGTTTAGTATGCGGGCTTGACCTGTTTAAATAGTTGTGCGATAACTTGATGTAAATGAAATGCTTAAGTTAGAAATTATGAGACCAAAGTGCTCTAGAAGAAGAGATTCTTTTTCAGTTCTGTGTGATAAGGAAAATTTGCAAGGCACTTTTTAAGCTCATTCAAGAAAAAATCAAGATTTTAACAACAAAAAAACACATTTCATTTCATTTCAGCCCATACCATTTCACAATCAATTCCGCCGCCAGGCGCAATTGCAACAACAACAACCATTCTACCTACAGCAAAATCCAAATGTGGAAGTTCCAATCCAAACACAGCAGCAACGCAACCGACAAGTGCAACCTGCTTTGAATACACGCTTCCCGCCCAGCGGCAACGGACGTGGCAACTTCGCCAACAGCCCTACCAATAATAACAACAACAACGAACAATACCAATCAAATTCGCTTTATCAGCGCTCCACACAGAACCAACTCTATACGGCACAGCAGCCCATACGATTCCAGCAGGCACAGCAATCACAGCCCCAACAGCAACAGCAGCAGCTGCAGCAATCACAACAACAACAACAACAAAATCTAGACCAGCACACGCAGAATTTCTTGACTTTGCGTAACTTTGGCAATCAGCAGGTGGGTCCACAGCAAAGCTTGCCACAACGCTCCTACAACAACAAGCCATTCCAATCGCAATCGCCAACGCAATCTCAGCAACAGCAGCCGCTGCAGCAGCCACTCTACTCGACGCTACCCAATAGCGTTTACCAACAACAACCACAACAACAACAGCAGCAGCAGCAACCATCTTCTTCGAATTTTGGTTTGCCACAGACACAACAGAAGCTGCCGAGTCCACTGCCAGTGCCTACTTTCCAGACACAGAGTGTAGCGCAGGCGCCACTGAAAGCTGCTTTCTCCACCACGCCGCAGCTAATTTTCCAACAACAGCAACATCAGCAATTACCGCTACCCATACCACAGCAGCAACAACAACATACAAACTATCAGCAATTGCCACTGCAAGAGCAGCGCCAAGGTGGTCCATTCCAGCTGACTCCCAATTTGGGCTTGCCGGTTCCACAAATCTTCCCCAATCTACAGCCGACAGCTTTTCCAGCGCTCNTGGTCCATTCCAGCTGACTCCCAATTTGGGCTTGCCAGTTCCACAAATCTTCCCCAATCTACAGTCGACAGCTTTTCCAGCGCTGTCACAGCAGCAACAGCAACAGCAGCAACAATACGTTAGTCCGCCCTTTTCTACGCTACCAACGCCACAAGCGCAATCCGCTGATCAGGAGTACAAACAGAAGCTCATCCAGAAACACGAACAATTCGTACAGAAACAATACGAGAAATCACAGAACAAAGTGCGCCAGCAACATGAAGACTTCCTCGCCAAGCAGCAGACACTCAAACAGCAGTTGGCACCCACATTGCAGCAACGACCACAGCAATTGCAACTGCAGCAGCAGCAGCAACAGCAACAGTATCAAGACTATCAGCCACCACGCAGTCGCCCGGTAGCTCCAACCGAGCTGCATCTCTTCTCGTCCGCTTTGCAGAAGTACCATGAGGAGCATCCGACCACTACGACAACAACCACCACGACTACTACCACAACCGCCGAGCCACCAGCGCAGCCGAGCGGTAAACAAAGCAGCAAGAATGTCTATGCGCAAGTGAAGGCCGAGCTGGGCAAGTACGGCATGAAAACTACGCCAGGCAAGAAGTCTGTCAAGACTATCGGCCGCGATGAGCTGTTAAAGCAGCTGAAGGCCGCTTTGGCTGAGGCGCCACAGAAGGATGTGGACAACAAAACCTACTCCGAAATGGATCTAGTGTTGCCGAATGGCCAGCGCGTGCAAGTTATACGTACCACCGATCCCAACTTGGTTAAGGGTCAGCAAGCGCTTTCGCAAGATCAATTTCAAACCTTACTGGCACAACAAGGTGTATCTGCGGCTGAGCAGATCGTGCCAGTCAGTGCACCAGCAGGTGAAAAAGTGAGCTTGGCTGATGTGGCGCCTGAAAGTGCCAAGGATCTGGTTCTACCGAATGGATCAAAAGTTCAAATTTCCCGCTCACCCGATCCACAGGCAGCTATTGATCCACAATCTTTGCCAGGCGGTGTTGATTTCGCTAATTTGGCCTCACTGTATGGCGGCGACATTGAAGGCATCTCAAGCGGCGCTAATAGCATTGCCAGCTCAGCAGTAATTCAGTCAGACTCCGACGAACCACCCACACTGGAGGAGTTAGCCAAGCGTGGCCTCATTCCAGATGGCTATGAAATCGAAGGCTTAAGTTCGAATAAACCAGCACCTGTACCGAAGGTAGCACCCACATTGCCACCGAAGAAGAAGGCCACATACGTTTACTTGGAGGAGCAAGCTGATGGCAGTTTCAAGATACAAGGCGTTAAAGCCAATGGCGAGAAGGAGACTAAGCAAACTGGCGCAGAGGTGGAGAGCATTTTGGAGCGCATACGCAGTGGAGAAATCAAGCTGCCACCCTCTGTTTCACGCCTCACATTGCCCAACGATGAAGTGGTCGAGATACAGGGTGGTAACATCATCAAAACCACTGCTGCCGCACCCACAAAGCCTAGCACGACTACCACTTCCACTACAACCAGCACTACTACCACGACCACCACCACAACCGAATTTCCATTCGCACGCACATCACCCATACGTCATCATTACCATGCGTCATCACGCGCAACGACAGCACACGCCTACCCTAGCACTACTTATGCACCACTAATACACCGTTCGAGCCCAACGGTAGCTCCAGAGTCTACGTCCACCACTTACTACACGACTCCGGCGCCCATTTACACCGCCTCACCCGCGCCTGTGACTTATGACACCACAACTCCATTTGCCGTCAGCGAAAGCTTGGTTGAAGCAGTACCCGTATCGGGTCATTACACCGATACGCTGGTCCAGGAGACAGAAAATACCGAAAAGGCTGCTGAAGCGAGCTCTACAAATCCCAGTGAGGACCTGTTGCAGATACTCAAATCGAATGGACTCTTCGCGATGTCCAAGTACTTGCGTCAATCAGGTTTAGATAGCATACTGAACGAGACTGGACCATATACGATTTTCGTACCGACGGATAAGGCGTTCAAAAATCTATTGGTGCAACTTGGTGGCCCCGAGCGTGCGGAAGAGAAATTCAAGGCGAATCCCAGACTACTGAGTGGCGTAAGCCTATTTCATTTATATAATTAATTTAAGTAATATTAACGTTTCTTTCGTAAATTTTATGAAAAAGCTTTTGCTGCACCACGTGATACCTGGCGCTTTTGAAATTGCAACACTGCAAGATGAGATGACAGGCGTTTCATTGGCCGGCACACAGCTGCGCGTTAACCAATACACAATGCATGATCAAGAGTGGAATGATGTGACTGTAAGTATTGCCCCAAAGTGGGAAGGGAAGTGAACAAATTAGATCTGATGAACTTTAGAACGTAACTGTAACAACATCGTTTAAAAAAGCCAAAAATGATAACAAAAAAGTCTTCTAATGCTTAAGATGTCGATCTTAACCTGTCGCAGGCGAGTTATTGATTATTACACAATGTTTAAACTTTCTTCCACAGATCACTACCATAAACGGTGCAATGGTTTTGCTGAACAAAAAGGACATAAAGATACCACAAGGAGTAGCGCATGCCGTCGATCGCGTCATGTTCCCACTACCAGTCGGCGATCTCTTGCAAACCCTACAATCGGATCGCGAAAATCGTTTCTCAAACTTCTTGAAAATTTTATATACTTCTGGACTATCGGAGAAGCTACAGAGCAAAGGTATGAAGCTTGTACAGCGCAAAGGCAATGCTTTACTATTTCACTATGCTTAACCCCTTTCTATTTTCTCCCTCCCTTTGCAGGCATTAAAACCTACACAGTCTTTGCGCCAGTGGACAAGAGCTTCCGCGACATGGAATCCGACACTCTAGAAAAGCTTTTCAATGACAAAGATGCCGCCGAAGAGTTTGCCATGAAACACATAGTAACCGGTTCGCTTTTCTCAGCTGGCATGCGCTTCTATCAAGTTAAGGATTCATTATTGACTGGTAAAACCGTTATATTGCAAAAAACATCAGCGGGTAAAATCAAAGTGAACGACGCACAAATGGTCAGCTCCAATATACCAGCTACAAATGGCGTTATTCACGCATTAGATGGTGTGTTGGCGTGAGCTTAAAGCTCTGTGAAAATAACATGTTTAAGTTAGCAATTAACGAAGGATTCTATAAGGTTTTTATTTAAGTAACGAATGCAAATATTATATTTTCAAAATCATTGAAATTATTTGCGGTTAAATTGGTTAAAAAAAAGAAGAGGGAAAATTTAAGAAATGTAAACTTACATATGTAAATCTTGCCAGGTGCGCTTTGTTAGCTCTTAAAGCTATAAAGTTACATAGTAGATATTACTGTGGGAACATTTGGTTATTTAACTAGTTCAATTTTTTTTTTAAGAAAATAATTCCAGAAAACAACAGAATCCGCTGGTGCTTCCAAATACATACATATGTAAGCGATCGTTGTGAAATAAATAGCTACGATTGCTTCCCGTTTTCAAGAAAATGGGCTCCGGTCATATTTATATTGCACATCATTGGTTTGAAACAATATTCAGAAGTATCTATTTTGGTTAAATTTGTGTATTAAAAACTTTTCGGCAAACAGATGAAAGCTTTTACATTAAAATGGCTGCTCTTCAAGAGCTTAAATCGGTTATGGGCACGCAGAGCTGTCTCCTAGTGCGTTCTTACATAAAAGCCCTGCATGCGAGCAAAGCTGTTGCCATCCCAGGCTTAAAAGTGCATGGTATACTACAAAAGCTTTGTGTTCGAAAAGCCGAAAGCTCGTTTTTTATCTACATAAATGAAAACTTTCTTGAAAAACATAGCTCGTTTTTGTTTCGAAAAATGCCTTAGCTTCCCAGATATAAATGAGCTTTTTCTGCCCGCTAACATATTGATATTGCCAGATCCTAAGGCATTGAAAACTTTTTTCTCGATCATTCCCTTACAAAAACATCCCTATGTCTGCACGAACGTATTTAAATGATAAACTTC